GTTATGTCCAAAATTCTTAGCCCATTTATCATATATTCTCACTTATTCATTCTTCATGTCAAATTTCAGCAAGAGTTTATACATTTTGGCAGTTACATGCTTGTCATTTATATATAATTTAACTTCAAATTCTGTCTTTCGTTGCTCAATTCTAAATGTCCTGTTATCTACCTTGAATCTTTCTCTTAGCTGTACAAATGAAAACCATTGAAAACTAAACCCCTCTGCAGCCAATTGTTCTCTTGATTTCATCTTATATTCTCCATGTTCTTGTTCTAACAATTCTTGATAGATTAACCATTTCTTTTTACCTGCTTTTTCTTTCCTACAAAATGCTTCTTGTGCTGAGACCCATAAAGGCATTTTCAGGCATAGGCTGGCTTTATATCTATTTGATATTCTCAATATGGCACTTCTGACATAGTGATTTTTAAAATCTACATTAACCTTAACTTTACTGTACCATAGAAAACCGTACCATTCAAATCTCAGATTGTGCTCTTTCAGCAGCACCCACTCTTTCACCCAAACCAAACAGTTGGCTGCAAAATACGGTTTTAAATCAGGCAATCCCAATCCTTCTTGTTCCTTTGCATCTTGAAGGACTTTATATTTAACCCTTGGTTTTTCCCCTTGTCATACAAACCTAGATTTATTGTTCTACCATTGCTTAAATGGTACATCAGTTGTCAAAATAGGCATTGTTTGAAACAAAAACATAATTCTAGGCAAAACGTTCATTTTTATAATGGAGATTCTCCCCAACAGTGACAGTTATAGTTTCTCCCATCTTAACATGTCCTTCTTAATTTCATTCCATGTCTTAACATAATTGTTCTGAAATAATATACAATTCATATTAGTCATAGTAATACCCAAGTATTTTACTTTTTTCTCAATCTTAAAACCAGTTTTTTTCCAACAATTACATTTGGCTTTTCATTTTCATATTTTTTGTTAACATCTTCATCTCTTGGTTGTTAATTTTAAAACCAGCTAACGCACCAAAATCCTTTAGTTTTTCCATTAATATTTCTATTCCTTCCAAAGGGTTTTCCAAAATTATTACCAAATTGTCAGCAAATGTCCATAATTTATATATTTCCATTTTAATCCTCAATCCAGCGATTCTCTCATCTTGATTTTTGATAGCAGCGATTTTTGATTGGAGAATGAGAGTGAAGTTATTGGTGGATTGTGCTTGATGAATGATAATGTAACATGACACGAGCCTATTGTTATTTATTATATATCAAAATCAGAGAACATTTTCCAAGAGAACAGGACAAGCTAACCCCTTGAGGGGATATTTCAGGTTTGGCCATGGTCATACTTAATCATATGCATGCACATGCACACACAAACACACAGTTTGTCAATTTCATGGCACTTATTACACACACTTGATTGTAACCCTAATAGCTGACTTTGCCCAGCTTTATTATGCAAAGTGATTACTATAATGTGCCATACTTTTCCATTTTTTAAATGGGAGCTGGAATTTAAGCAATTGGTACATGTTTGCTGAACTTTTATTGGCCTGGAACAACTTCTATTTCAGCTGAATCTGAACTGAAACTAAATATAAATGTAATGATTTAACCCTAGTGATGATATTGAACAGCTGAAAGGTATTCAAGTATTCCTTACCTCAGTTTAGACTCTGTTTTATCTTTGCTGAAAAATCAGTAGCAAATCTGAGAATATAAAGTATATAGGGGGCTGGTATAATTGGAGTCCAGAAGCTCTCTGATAGGGATGTGCCATTTATATTCTTCATCATTTGAAATAATCAGATATAATCACACTGCAGATTAGATGTGTTCTTGTCTGACACTGATTGAAAATGAATATCAGTAATAAGAAAAGCAAGTTGATTTACATACTCAAAGGTGGTGATTGCAGAGGGAATTGTCTGAACTAATGATAAGGGAAGAAAATCAGATCTATTAATTATAAAAATAGTATGGAAGGGTGCACAATTTTTGAATGTTTAAAATATTACAAAAAACAGCTGTATAAACACGTTCCCAAAGAATAACCTTTTTCTTTCCTCCTGTTTACTTGAGTTTTCATAGCTGGACCTAAATGTTGAAGAATTCACCAAAGGATGAGGGGGAAAGAGACAGCCTTTATAAGATGGCTGCCTTGCCAAAATTTTTCTGCATGATCTATTTTGTTAAGTGAAATTGTACACTCTGATTTATTTTATCCCCATCTTTTAGTGAAGTGAATTTTAGTGAATGATTTTTATAGATGATAGAGGATCAAGGATGTTAATGGGGCTTTTTTCCAGCTCAGTGGTTTGAAGATTGAAAAGTCTACATTTGAATTAAATCATTCAGACACATTCAGTATGGATTGAACTATCTATAATGAAGTCACATCTTTGGTTAATTCAGATTGCATTCTCCAATATCTTCATAGCTTTGGATATCACTTCTGGGAATTATACTGTGAAAACTATTGCTGGTAATCAAACGACTACGTGCCTTGTTTTATGCCAGCACTTTTTCTACACTTTCTTGTTTTATGTCAGCACTTAACCTGCTCTTCTACAGGTTTGTTGACTTTGACTCCTACAATCTCTCAAACAATTTGGCCTTTGGGAAAAGCTGCTCTAAGCAGATGCTGGAAGTTATCCAGATTCCTCCTCCTGCTGTGAGTACAGTTCAAGGACAGGGAGGCCTCATATTGCCAAAGAGGCACTGTAACTTCAGGACTAGGATTCTACTCAAGAATCTCACCACGTCTGCAGGTGAACTTGGAAGGTCTCTAACAGGGTGAGATGGTGAGACCAGTCAGACTCCATACATCTCAATATCCCTCCTGTCTTTTTTTCAAATAAATCATTTCACAGTCTTTTGTTACTGGATGCATTTTTAATAGCAGCCCACCAGGTTGGAATGTATTGACTCTCTTGAAACGTTAAGATTAGCATTGTTAAGAAGGTGGGTGTAGCCACAAAGTAATTTTCTGGCTAGACCATTCGCAATAATGGAGAATGCTATGCTATTAGACAGAACAACAGACTGGCTTTTATTGAACTCATTCCCATAAAACTGAGACATAGGTCTCACTGCTATCCGTCTAGCAACATTTACTAAGGAGATGAGAGTAAATTTTCAGATTTTTCTTTCTGAAATATTTTCCAACTTACCTTATATTTTATTCAGATAAGCAACATGCAACTGACCAAATTAAACTGATTTTATTCGCTTGAATAAAAAATTTGCTGTGTGTGATTGCAGCCTTT